ATATACATACATCATAGAAAAATTTTCTGAAGATGTTTTATATTTCAAGATTGAAAGTATGTGTCTGGAAAACAGTTCGATGAAAAATCCTGAAATCTGTTTTTAAAGTTAAATTAAAACCAACCCTTGGGACATAATAATGCACACCCAGATACAGACAAAATCCAATTTAAGTCATCAGCATCACCTGAACCCATTTGACCCCCTGCATTAAGAAGCTTACATCTACAGATGTGATTTCCTGAGCGCCGGTCAGGACTAAGTGTGTGTTTTAAAAGACACTCCAAAGACAGTCAGCATTGCTGATGCAGTCTTCACAGGGCTGTGTTTAGGAAGGAAGTGATTCTACTGTGAGGGGATTTTTACCTTCTCAGTAATGTCTATTTCACAGGAGTCAATGCTGTCATGGAACAAATCCTCTGTGCTGCCGTTAATACTGCTGAGGTTACTGTTGTGGAGCAGCTGCCTGTTGGACCCAAATACACACATAAACAAGATAAGCGAGTCATAAAAATATAATGCATCACAATAACATTACAATTACATTATATTTTTTTGCACCCTCAGCATTCAGATCCCATGCTGACAGCTATATTTTGCAAGAGGAACGTCCCACTTACTTATCTGCTCAGACCTATGGATGGATTGGACTACACTGCAGCATCAATACTACTACAAACTACACTACCCATGCTGCATCACTGCAGCAGACCACTCTTCCATTCCATGAATCTATATTCTACTGAGCATCTTTAGGAGCACTGCAGTGACGAGGGAGAGAAGGGACTGACCAGTACAGGCATCGTGAGAGCTGATGTAGTGTCCAGTCAACCCACCCACACAGAACCAAACAGCACTCATCTAAAAGACAACAGCGCATGCGCCGGCACACACACTATTCTCTTAGTCTTATCCCACTTGAATTAGCCCTTTGAGAGCCGTAATCTTGCGTGTACACAAATTCACATTCACATAACTCTTCTGCAGAGTCAGGTCTTGGTTGTCACTTTGTTTTATTGCTGTGTCATTCTCATTAAAGCAATTACTTCACACATGAGAATCCATTATACAAATTACACACATTGGGTTCTCTCTGCGGTTCTGCTTCCTCCCTCTCTCTTACACTCAGGTCAGCTGTGGCAGGCCACTTTCATCTTGTCACTGTGATTTAGGAGTAGGAGACTGGTTGTCAAAGGGACAAGAAAAACCGCCATTCACCCACACAATTTTTACCACCCAGCGTTTACACTCCCACACAACATTTGATTAGATTCTTGCAATTAAACACAAAGGGAACTGTCTATAGCAGTGATTCCCAACCAGGGGTATCCATACCCTAGGGGTTTCTTGAAAAGATTTTTAAACAAAGTGTGTACGTTGTGTAAGTGTTTTGTAATTGTATGTGGATGATACTTCTAGCAGAGTATATATATATATATATATATATATATATATATGACATATGTCTCACCTGTTTCTTCATAGAATCATTTAATTCCTTCATGGAGTCAAAGCTGGCCTTCATCCTCTTATTCTCTTTGGTTTTCTGCTTCAGAGCCGCTTCCAGCTCACTTTTCTCTTGCTGATATTGCTGTAAGAAACAACAAACATATTTGGCATGAATTATTAATCATTTTATTCATTCAATTATGTTTAATAATTCAATGTGGTTGTTGTTTTTAATGCCATGTCAGCTTCTTTGTCGATTTTCATAACTAAAATGTCAAATAGATGTTAAATAGGATAATTAAAACCCATTTTTCCTCAAAACTCTAAATGTATAATTTGTATTTAACATGATTAAAAAGCTTTTAAAGTGTATCAACCAAGTAAAACTATTTTTTTCTGAGCAGTAGAATCCAATAAAATATGTCTGATAGACAATTAAAGGCATAGTTCACCCAAAAATGAAAATGACCTCATGATTTACTCTCCCTCAAGCCATCCTAGCTGTATATGACTTTCTTCTTTCAGACGAATACAATCGGAG